TTTTTCAAGCTTTATTGAGGAATAACTGACAAATAAAATTGTATATATTTAAAGTGTACAATGTCATGAATATACATATCCCATATTTTGCCATGTATAATGCACACTTTTTTGCCCAAATTTGTGAGGGAAAAATAAGGATGCACATTATACATGGGTGGTACTAATTCCATATCTATATAAATGTTTTAATTTTATTTATGCTTATGAGTAAAAAGTATATTTTTAGAAATCAATAACGATATCCATATGCAAAATAATACCTTGGAATACAATAATTGGTTTTGTTTGATGAACTTGCAACGATGAAGAGTTCTTGGCCTTCTAAAAGCCATAAATATTGTAAATTTGTTACTAGTCCATAAAATTTCTTGTGTTTTGTAATTATTTATTACATAAAATTTCTTGTACCATAATATATTAAAAAATAAATGCTAAAATTCCTTTATAATAGAAAAAATTAGTACTTGAATGTAAATAAAATTTTGAATTAAAAAATTAAAATGTTTTTTTCCCCTGAAAGTCTGGGCTTAAAACATGAGTGTGCATTATACATGGGAGTGCATTATATACAGCAAAATACAGTACATTGTGAAATATTATCAAGATCGAGTTAACTAACACATACATTACCTCACATAATCAACATTTTTGTTGAGAACTTAGGATCTACTCTCAACAAATTTCAAGTGTACAATACCATAATATTAATGATAGTCACCTTACTGCATATTAGATCTTCAGAACTTATTCATTTTATAACTGAAAATGTGTTCCCTTTGTCCTACATTTCTCCATTTCCCTACTCCCAGGACCTGACAACTACTTCTACTCTGTTTCTATGAGTTCAACTTTTATTTTATTTTGATTCCACATAAAAGTGTTACCACAATATTTGTTTTCATCTAACTTATTTCACTTAGCATAATGTCTTCCAGGTTCAAACACGTTCTAAAAATGGCATAATTTCCCTCATTTATATGGCTCTAATATTCCATTATATATACATCACATTGCATTTTCTTTATCTATTCATCCATTGACAGACATTTAGGTACCATATTTTGACTATTGTAATGCTTCAATGAACATGAGAGTCTAGATATCATTTCAAGATACTGATTATATTTCCTTCAGATATATACCCAGGAGTGGGATTGTTGGGTCATACAATAATTTAATTTTTAATTTTTAAGAAACCTCCATACCACTTTCCATAGTGACTGTACCAATTGACAATCCCATCAAAAGTGTACATCATTCCTTTTCTTCACTTCCTCACCAACATTTATCTCTTATCTTTTTTAATAATAAATATTCTGACAGGAGTGAATTTCCATCTCATTATGATTTTGATTTGCATTTCGCTAATCATTAGTGTTGTTGAACACCTTTTTATGTGTCTATGGGCCATCTGTATGTCCTTTTAAAAAATGCTTATTCATGTCCTTTGCCCAGTTTTCAAATGGGTTATTTGGTTGTTTATTGAGATTTAAGAGTCCTTTATATATTTTAGATATTAAATCCTTATCAGATAGATGATTTCCAAATATTTTTACCCATTCTGCAGATTGTTTTCTTATTTTATGGACTGTTTCCTTTGCTCTGCAGAAGCTTTTTAGTTGGTGTAGTCCAACTTATTTATTTTTTATTTTGCTTTTGCTTCTCTTTTTGGTGTCATATCCATGAAATCATTGCCAAGACCAATATCATGAAGCTTTTTCTGATTTTTTCTAGAACCTTTATGTTTTCAAGTTTTATATTTAAGTCTTTAATCCATTTCAAATTAATTTTTATGAGTGCTGTAAGATAGGAGTCCAGCTTCATTCTTTTCATGTGAATACCCAGTTTTCCCAGCACCATTTATTGAACAGACTTTCCCTATTATACGTTACTGGGACTCTTGTGAAAGATTAGTTGACTGTATATGCATGGGGTCATTTCTTTCTATTCTGTTCCATTGTTCCATGTGTCTGTTTTTATGCCAGTACCATACTGTTTTGATTAATATAGCTTTGTAATATAGTTTGAAATAAGGCAGTCTGGTGCTTCCAGCTTTCTTTGTCTTTCTCAAGATTGCTTTGGCAATTGGGGGTCTTATGTGGTTCCATATGAATTTTAGGTTTTTTTTCTATATCTCTAAAAAATGTCATTGGATATTTGATAAGGATTGCATTGAATATGGAAATCACTTTGGGTAGTATGGACATTTTAAACAATATTAATTTTTGTAATCCTAGAACACACACGATATCTTTCCATTTATTTGTGTTTTCTTCAATTTCTTTCATCAGTGTCTTAATGTTTTAGTATGTAAATCTTTTAACTCTTTGGTTAAATTTATTCCTAAGTATTTTATGTATGCTATAGTAAATGGGATTGCTTTCTTAATGTCTCATTTTGATAGTTCATTTTTAGTGTATACAAACAACTGATTTTTACATGTTGATTTTTTATCTTGCAACTTACTGAATTTGATTATTAGCTCTAACACTTTTTTTGATAGAGTCTTTATGAGTTTTCATATAGAAGATCATGTTATCTAGAAGCAGAGACAATACTAATTCTTCCTTTCTGATTTGGATACCTTTTATTTCTTTCTCTAGCCTAACTGCTCTGGCCAGGACTTCCTGTACTATGTTGATTAGAAGTGGTGAGAGTGGGCATCTTTGTCTTATTCCTAATCTTAGAGGAAAAATTTTTCCTTTTCACCATTGAGTATAATATTAGCTGTGGGCTTGGCACAATGACCTTTATTATGTTGAGATACATTCCTTCTATATCCAATTTGTTGAGGGTTTTTATTATGAAAAACTGTTGAATATTGTTGAGATTTCTTGACACTTATGACCTGAAAAATCAGAGTTAACCAGGAATTAATTACATTTGGGAAAAATTAGAGAGAGAATGAGAGGAATTTCTCTATTCCAAGGCCATATCTTTACTAACAATAAAAAAAACAATATATTTTTCTTTACTTACTTTCTTTCATTATCTTATTTTATAAATAATCATTAAGCTATTACATAATATGTGCCAGACACTGTCCTGAGACCAAAGATTTGATAATCTGAGGAAGCAAAACAGTATAAATAGGAGATAAGTTGCATTTGAATACCAGGCAAGAGATAATCGTGACCTAGGTGAAGAGGTGACAGAGTATACAAAAAAATTCAAGAATCAAGAGATATAAGATACAATTAATAGGTCATGCTAAGGTTCATGTGAGGATAGGGAACATTATTGATAAAAGGGGAAACAATCCAGGAAATACCTTATCTTTCTCAGTAAGTGGTGAGACAGAGGAGTGAGGAATAGCAAAAGCCTTGCTGGAGAGAAAAACTGAAACATTTTAGACATGTTAAGTATGCGATGTCTGAAACACTGAAGTAGAGATGTCAAACATTCGTTGGAAATGTGGGGTTGAAGTTCAAGAAAAGGTCTGCATTGCAGAGACAGGTCTCCATGCAAAAGTGTTTTAAATCTATAGAAATGATTGCAGTCACTTAGAGGAGAAACAATAGATAAGAAGAGAATTAGATCCAAATGAGACCTTTGATCAAGTAAAAGATGAGACAGTAAAAATATCTGAAAAACAGCGATCAGTAAGAGAGAAGGAAAACCAGGAGAGAGTAGAATTACAGAAGCCAAAGGAAGAAAGGAAGAGGCAGTGGCTCACCATATTGAATACTATTGTAAAGTAATATAAGATGAGGATAGAGAAGTACACTGGATTAATAACATGTCTTTGATGATGTTGACAAGAGAAGATTAAGGAAGTAATGATGATGGAAACTAGAGATTGAAAAGGTGAAACAACTGATATTGAGGATGTGGGCATTCAAAGGGCTTTCATATTGTTAAACCACCCAAATGTTATAACTATGATAAAAACACAAAAAATTACTAGCAAGGGGAGCAAAGAAATCAACTGTACCTAGAAAAAAATTTTGGGAGTCCCGAGTTTTTTATTTGGAAGACTCTAATAATGTGATCTGAGGGGCATATCTAGCAGAAATGGAAAGATTGTTAAATCAGAAGAGAAGAAATAATCTAAGAAATGAAGCTCTCAAAAAGATAAAAATGGAACAGCATGGTATTAGTAACAAGAGTTGGGGGAAATGACCTTTGATAGAATGAGGTACACTTTCTTCATTATGACAGGAGGAAACAAGACAATGATAGGGGCAAGGAATAGAAAGATTTGTAAGGAGAGAGAGAGAGGGGAGTGAGAGAGAGAGAGAGAATGTTTGAGTTATGGCTTCTAGTTTCTTATATTTTTTTCATAGGAAAAATAACTGAGAGTTATAAAAAGGCCTAGATGAGAGTCTTAACAAATTCCACATTTAATATCAACATAAAGGAAACAAATTGCTAGAGAATCAGAAAGAAAACCTGGAGCATCTGGTATCATAAAAGCCCTAAAAAAGCACCTATTCTTATTGGAGGCTAAGAGGTGGAACAAAAAAACCATACAACAACATCAAGTTAAAGAAAGAGAAAGAAAAAGAGAAAAGAATACAGAGAGTATAAAAGGATTCCTGTGAGCTTCATATGAATTACAGATTAGACAATTTGAGTTTATTTTATTTCTTAAATTATTAACTGTAAAGGGGATGTCACATTGTTAAAATCACCCAAATGTAACTTTCTACAGGAATCATCAGTAAATCAGCCATCTCCAATTGTTGGAAACTCTCTCTGAGAGATGCTCTCTATGCAAGATATACATTAGAGATCCGTAGATGGGCAACTGGTGTTAATGGCAACAAACGTATTTGCCATGATGCCTATCTGAGTTCTTAGAAATTTCTTTGACAAATAGGCTATTGTGAGTCCTCCCAAATACAACATGTTCATTGTAGTTACCTTATATTTGTATATATGTGATTTTTATGCTTTTCTGCATTTTCAAGTTGATTACCTATTACAGCTCTTAACAAAAATTAATTATATTAATCTGTATATATAAGAAAAAAAATACACATGGTTATTTCTCTGGGTACATATGTATTTAATTCAAATTTTATAGTTTAGATTCAGCATGAATTGCAATAAATGGATCTTCAGCAGAGTTACTAACAGAGAAATGAGCATTGCCATCGCCAGAAACATAGATTTTAATTCCTGTGCAAGTGTCACCAATTTTATCTCCAGAAATAACATCACAGTATGTGCCAGCAGGAAGACCAGTTTGCAAAGTTAAAGATAATGGCCTGTAAAATAAAAATTAAGATTTGACTTGAAATCAAGACAATTAAAAGCAACAATACAGACTATAAACAAGCAGCTTCACTTTGAGCTGTAGAACTCTAAGCAGTCAAGGTCTTAGCGAGAAGAAGATACAAACACAAAGACCTCTCCAGTGGATATAGTAGTTTTCTCAAGACCAAAAGTAATCTTATGAAGACAGCAATTTCCTAGTCAACAGTCAATATTATCCAAAAAATTAAGGTTGAGGAATATCAGTGAAGAACTGAGTTGAATTGCCACCCTTAGGTAAAAGTACTTCCTTGGTAACTACAAATACTTTAAATTCTTCCTCATCTGAACTTAAGAAAATATGGATTACTTTCAAAAATTTAAATTTGATTATTTCTTTAAAAAACCACCTTTTATCAAGAGGCTAAAATGAATTTGGGGTAGAAATAAAAATAATCTAGCATTTCTGTGAAGCAGTATATAGTTTTAAATATAAAGGTGTCTCATATTTATTTTGGTTCTCCCATCCACAAAAGACAGGAATTAAAAGACTAGCCATGGATTCTTTTGGCAAGAAGATATATATTTGATTTATATTTTTGTCAGTAAAATATAATTTAGGCTAGAATGAGATAAGCATGAGTGAAAGTTGCTCTTGGATCAAGACGTCTGCTTGCAAAGAGGTCCTCTAAGCCACAGTTCAATATATGAGGGAATCAATATACAGAGGCAGGTGATGTAAGTATCACAAACGAAAAGAAAGGTCAGTAATAAGATGCCTCAGAACTCAAACTCAAACTCAAACTCAAAAATCCCCTGAGGTGAGTTATTGACTGTAATATATTCTTTACACATATGTTTTAAAAATTTATATTATTTGTCACAGAGAGATAGGGAAATGAAAAAAAAATACCCAAAAAACAGATATAGGAGTAGTTGAGAAAAAGAGCTAGAAAAAAAGTTATTTCAGTACTGAGGCAATATCTTTCCATCATTTAAATAATAGAGGAGTCTATACGACTTGCTCTGCTAGTGATTTCACAAGCTTTATATTAACTACTCTGTGTATTTTGTGTGAGGTGTACATGTGAGCACATACATGTGCATCATAGCTGCACATTATATATCAGGGTACACAAAAAATAACTCTGCTTAGAATTGAAAGCCCTTATAAAGAAGAGATCAAAAGTATAGGAGCTACCATCATTTTTTTCTGTTTCTTTTCTGACCTCTGTTTTTTAATCCACTATTTTTCAAATATAAATAAAATAAATGAGCAGGAAGAGAAAAAACTAAACCAAAAACTTATTAGTATAAAATATGATTTCTAATTGATATCTACTTACCAGTCATCATTGTTAAAGACAATGAATCCTCTGTTTCCTCTCCCAAACGCTACTTGGTTGCTGCCATTATCCCACCAATTTGCAAAAGGTTGGCCATCAACTACATTACGGAACATAACCATGTTCCTAAAAACAAAATATCATATAATTTCTATGAATGCTTCAATAATTCAACAGTTTAAAATAAAATATTAATAAAGCTTATGAGAGGGTATCTCTAAATAAGTATTCCCACCTTATTTGACGCCATCGATGTTCACAGACCCAGTCATTGCCACAAGTAGTGTCCTCATTAATAGTAACTTCTTTTGTTACTCCATTATTATTTGGTGGCCCAACCCAATCATTGATATCCTTAATTAGCAAAAAGAATAAAAAATGCTTAGATTTTTAATATTATATGTATTTGCCTCTCCCTTCTCCAGTATGCTAAACCCAATCTGTCCGATTTAGGTCTCTGCAGTGTCTTCATTTAGAATCCATCTCCTTCAGCAGTTTTATACCCTTTAACCATGTTCTCATCATCTTCTCTTCAACTTCTCATTTTCTAGTCCAATATTTCAAAGGCAAATATATATATTTACCCTCTCATTTTCTTTCCAAAAAATTGCAATGGCTTCTGAATATCATTGTAGGCAGTGCAATATCATTGAAATAGCAAGGAATTTAGTGTCAGAAACAGGATTAAAACAGATATTATTGCTACTAGCTAAGAAAACTTAGTCAATATACATAACTTCTCTGTGTCCCAGTTTCTTCTTCTGTAAAAAAGGGATATTACTTAGTTACTATAAAAACTAAATAACATATGTGAAAATGCCTTGAATATAATAATTGCTAAATAAATATTAGTTTTCTTCATTCTTCCTTTTGGATAAATGTACTAATCAACACATCACAATATTCTTTACTAATTTGACCAGATGTTTCAAATTGTTTTTCTGATTAGTACTTTTAAAGATAAACATAGAAAAAAACAGATTATGCATAAGAAGGTTATTCATGCCTGTCTTAAAACCATGTCATGCGATGAATAGTGGACAAAACTAATGGTTTTTAACATGCAGAAGCTTTGGAAGAGTGGAAATGTTATGAAAAAAGAGAAGTGGACATAGTCCATGACTCCTGACATCAGAAATAGGACAAATTAGTGGAAATTATAGCAACTCGGCTCAATATAAAGAGACATCTACTAAATAATAAAGCTGTCTAACAATAGGATGGGTTGCTGTACAAAGTGGGCTTTATAAATTGAAAGGAATCTAGAGAAAACTAGATGAAAATCTGTCTAATTTGTCGTGAAGAGAATTTTGTACTTTAGGTATGAAATTGCTATATACGATGCTGCATCTGTAATCTTAACTTTCTAATCAGATTAATGTCTTTACCATATCCCAAATATTTTTCTCATCCTTATCTTTCCCAGAATAGTCTGCAAGTTTCTCTCATTTACTATGTATATTTTCCTTCCCCCATAAGATAATTTCTCTATTAAACGTCAGTTCAACTAGATTATTTCTTTACCTTCCACAGAACTTTTTTACAAAAGTATTTAACAAGCCCTTATATTGTTTGTACTATGGGCAGATACTGTTTTAAGTTTCTTTACAAGCGTTAATTTGTAATCTATATACCAACTCTGTGAAGCAGATACCTTTGAGAGATACATATTTTACTCACTATAGCCTTACTTTTAAGTGCTTTTGGGAAAAAAGGAGGTATGTTTCTCATATTTCTGAAATAGCATGCATACCGTTTGGCAACAGAGACCATGATTCAATTTTTAATACCTACTGCACTGCTAAAAGAGTCCTGTCTCAGGTTTACACTTTAAATATTTGATAAATAAATAAGAACTGTAATAGCATCATGTGCCTTTCTTTTCTTAAGAAAAAGATATTTTGTACAACACCAAAACTTACTTTTCCATTCACAAAATATCTCGGCCAACGAAAGCTTGACATTATGCGTGTAAATCCATACGGATGAGCGAGCATAAATCCAACTCCCATTTTGTACAGTCTGAAAATTAGAAAATTGTATCATCAGAGAAGAAACCAATGTTTTTAGTATTATTACAAGGTAGGTAAAAAAAAAAA